CACACACACACAGGCTGACTCCCTGGAGCTCTGGGAATGGAGGGCTTTACACACACACACACACACACACCTTTTCATTCCTGAGGCTCTTCCCAGGCCCTGAACCTTCAGGAACATGTTAATCTTTTGATGGAGTGGGAGGCTACAGCTAGGCTTGACAGTTACTCAGCATGGTATGGCTGTCCATGTTGCCTTTTCCCACCCCTAATCATAGGAGGGGCTCTGTCACCTCCAGGCCTCCTCCTAGATTACTCCTACCTTAGCAAGTGCCATCCCAGAGCCACTGTCCCCTGCCTTGGGCTGCCTGTGCTTCTTCTGCCTGAGCCATCATCTCCCAGATGGATGCTCCCCTGAGGCAGAGGCTGGCAGAATCCCCTAGCATATTGTCCTACAGCACCAAGCACAGTGCCGGCATGCTGGAGGCCCAAGTCATTGGGGACTGACTTATCACCCCCTCTCCCCATACAGAGCCCAGGAACTGGCACCTGATGACCCCCAGATCATCCTCTATGTCTCCCTGCAGTTGGCCCTCGTTCGACAGGTTGGTTGTCACACTTCTTAACTGCCAGATCCCTGGGGACTGCTGACCTATCCCCTTCTTGGCAACTCTACTTAGTAGCTGTGTGACCCTCTACAAATGACTTGACCTTGTAAGCCTCTGCTTCTTTATCTCTCATGTGAGCACCTACTTTCATGTCCTTCCTCAGGGGCCCAGTGACGATGGAGTTAGTGTATGGACAGTCTCTGGCCCATGGTAGACGCACAGGAAGGGGTTATTCTCATCCCTTACTCCCTCTAGACTATTTCAGTCTCTTGCAGAGTCAATGAGAGGCCACCACAGCATTTGCTTGTATCATGCCTTCCACCACCTTCTGAGGAATAGAGTGATTGGCTGTTACTGGGTGGGCTTTCTGTGTGACCCCAAAACTTCTCCTGATCCTACAAACACCACCTTCATGGACCCAATATGGATCTCCTGTCTGTCAACTACCTTTGCCCCATAAGGACTTCTTGTCACCACCTGTGACTTCACACAGACCTGCCTTCCCCATGCTGAGCAGTGAGCTGTGGGTGCTGAGGGGACCCTGGCTATCTGGACACTCACCTGCACTACACTTTTCAGAATCTCTTTTGCTTTTGTGCATGCTGGGCTGCATACATGCGACCTCTGAAGCAGGACCTTTATGCTGGCCTTGGCCCAGTGCATACTGACTCCAATCGCCTGACTGCTCCAGGGCTGTAGACAATCCCAGCACAGTCCCCAGCGCAGTTCTCCTCTCCTGGCATTTGGTAGTAGGCTGAGCTCAGGGTGCTAGAAAGAAGCCTCAGCAGTCCATCTGTGCTGTGTGGGGTCAGGTGAGGGGCATCCTGGCTATTGTAAGTGCTGCTGTGTCCCCTTCTAGGCCTAGCTATGCCCATTTCTCCTCTGAGCTCAGCACCTAGGATCTGGTGGGCCAACACTGAAGGTGGGTCTCTTATCCAAAGCTCACTCTGGCCCATTTGAAGCAAGGGACCTTGGGTGCCTTGTTCGCAGCCAGGAGGCTGGTGTTACTGTAGCATGTGTCCTTCCATCAGTTCAGCAAGTTGTTTCTCCAGGGCAGAGGGACTCTGCCTTCTGCTGTTTACATCATCGTCCTCTGGAGCCCACATTGGCTTGGCTCTTCTCACTGTACAACAACTCTCATACCCGGGACTCCTACCCCTTCACCCTATGCCTGATCCCTGGTCCTGTGCCCTGTCTTTCCAGGCCTGGCTTGTCGCTGTCACTTTGTCTGAGTTCTCTGTCTCCCTTTCTATGTTCTTCTCTCTCAGCCATTTTCTCCCCAGTGGCTCTGATATTCCCTCTTTTGTCTGTTTCTCTCCCTTCTTTTTATACCATCCCCAACCGCATGACTTAACTCAATCCTCACTTCCATGCTGCGCTCCTGACTACCAGGCACTGTGTCCCTATGTGCTTCCGTCTCCAGGAGCGTCATTCTGCTCCCATGAACACAGACAGAAAGATACCTGAGACCGCTTTATTTTTAGCCCTCTGTAAAAAAACCTGGTGCTTTTCTTGCCAATCAAATTAATGATAAAGCTTTGGTGATGCATTTTTTAATCTCTTTAATTATTCATCTATCTCTGATGAATAGTGTCCATCTCCAAGAGAGATGGCTGCTAGGTTATTGGAACTGGGTGCCTGGTTTCCTTGGGGGACCCCAGGACTTGGCAGCCTAGGGGTTGAGGGCCCCTAAGTGAACTACAGAGCCCTTGCCTGCCTAGGTCTCCGAAGCCCTCCAGCTATCCAGCCTGCCTAGAGCACGGCTAGCTACTTTGAGCAGTGGTGGGTTGGGTATTCAAGTACCTAAATGTGGTCTGCCCTGGCAGAATTACTGGGGCAGGAACAGCCTTGGAGAGGTACAGACAAGCCAAGGTAGTGGCCACAATCCTTTTAGCTTCCGTCTCATAATCCTTGTCCTATCTGCAAAGTGATTTCCCAGTAGGAGAGCTCTGGGCTTGACACTGATGCCTGTGGCCTGCACAGAGGCCAAGTGAGACCAGTGTTCGGGGCCTGGCAGACTGAGGACTTGAGGCTTCACAGGAAGCATGGGAGGCTGGTATCTGAGCTTTACTAAGGAGCAAAAAAGACTTAGGGCTGCATATATAGCTCAGTGGTACAGCACATGCTTAGCATGTGAGAGACCCTGAGTTCAGTCCCCACTACTGAAAAAAACATAAAAACAACCTATGAGATGGGGTAGGGTGTGGAGCTGCCGTCCATAGACATTGTTGCTGGAGTAACACAATTCCCAGGGCTAAGGGAGTGAAGGAGCATGCACCCAGGGCCAGGTGGAAGAATCCTTGGAGGATTTGAAGTGGGGTACTCACGCTTTGGGAAGTATTTGCTGTGCCTGTGTTCTGCAGGTCTTTTCCTGTTCAGTGCTTCATTCTCACAACCATGACAACAGGCCTGACCGTTTCTCTTGCAGCAGAAGAGTTGCAATACAGAGAAGTGCCTCTCCTGGCCTACATGCCAGCTGGGATGCTGTCTCCTATCTGACCTCAGAGCCCAAGCCTTGCTCTGTGAGTGTCTGAGGAGTGGTATTTATCCTACAGCCCCACACTGAGGTGTTTCTACTAGCTCAGCATGAACAGTTTCAGAGAGGGACCTGGTTCTCTCTAGGCCTGTAGCCAACTGGTGGTCTTTAACAGGGCCTTCTTAGCTCTCCACCCTCCTACCTGCTATAAGGTTCTGTCACAGCCCTCTGATCCTACCTGCTCAATTGATCAGTGCTGGGGGCTAAATGACTGAGGGAAGGGCACAGAGGAAATGGACCTTTCAACAGGAAGCAGTGCCTCATGCTAAGGGTACTGCTTGCTAAAGCAGCAGTATAGGGAAAGAGCAGGATCATGCATCCTGCAAAACTGAAATAGGTTGGGATACCAGAAATCTAGAAGTGAGTTGGTGGTAGGCTGGATCTTGCTGCACTCCTGAACCTATAGCTCAAGAAGTATGGATTGCATCTAGGCCCCTCATTTATCCAGTACAGGCTTAGCAGCCGATGTGAGTTCACCAGTGACCCCTGCTGAAGTTAGGACCCCATATGGAAATCCTGGGAGTCCTGATGCTCCTGTTAACCAGCTCTACAATGCTGGGCCTCTCAGAATGGGGACATTTGAATGGACAAAGGCATAGAAGATAAACAAGCATTTCCATCTGCACATACACTCGCAGTTTAACCCTTCTGAAGTAAGGCATATGCCTAACCTGCAGAGAAGGGAACGGAATGCAGAGGTGGGACTCCAAGGACAAGGCTGGGAGCCAGCTCTTCTGAATACCCAAAATCCATTGCTGCTTTCTACAACACTCTAACCAGCCCAAAAGAGCATGATACTTTGATTAAGATAGCCTATAGCAGGAGGACACTGCCCCAGGCTGGCTCCGAGCAGGGGGCTCCATGTGCCTTGAGTGGAGAAGGAAGTGATGGAGTGGGGGTGCAGGGCTGCCTTGAAGGCCACACAGGACTGCCTAAGGAGCTACTCCAGTTACCAGGTCAGCCCTTCTTCCTTGAAGAAGAGTGTTTACATCGGTGACTGCCAGGATTCTTTTCACTTCTCATGCTTGTGGAAACTTCCCCAGACCCTGCCAAGGATGCACAGGCTGGGCCACGTGGGGTTGAAAGCTCTCCTTGCTGCGCTTACTGACCTTCTGAGCTGAACAACAGATGAGTAGAGGTGCCGAGGTGAAGTTGGGTGGAGGATAGCGTCAAGAGGGAAATCTGAGCGTCTATTCTGGGTGCTGTTGTGCTCGGAATGTCTTCAGGAGAGGGGAGTTCCTCAAGCCATCCACATCCTTCCCTCCCTTCCCCCGGCCTCTGCCCTGGGCTGGGACCAGGGATCCATTTGGCCAAGGTAGCAGGTGTGTGATCACGGCCCTGAGGTGATCTCCTGAAGGGTGTGCTAGAGAGTTGATTGACACCATGACCTTGTTGCTACTTGCATGTAGGGTCCCATATGGCTGAGTTAGCAGGAGCAGTGGACAAGCCTTTCCCTGTTGTACCTGCCTCTCCTGGGCTCACTGACAGGGCAACCATAGCAGTGGAGGTCTGGCCTCTTTCACTGAGAGCTCTTGTGAGGGAGCAAACCCAAGATGGGGAAAGCTGGGACTCACAGAGGCTGCTGATCTCCATCCTGCCATGAACTCTGCCCATAACTAGAGGAAAGGCTAGCTTTCCAGACCCTCCACATGTGGCTTTCCTAACCCTCTTTGATCTGGCCTTATCCTATCTGTCCAGTCTTCCTGTAGAACAAAATTTAATCATGACTTATTGAGTCAAAAAACAAGCCTGGCTTCTGGCCAGACGCTGCACTGTGCCCATGTTAGGTTCTTGTCAACCCTTGTTCTGAGCACTTACCTCTGCTGCCTTCCACGGTCTTGTCAAGCTGCACCTCCTACCTGGAGTGCTCTTTTTTTATTTTTTGCAGCACTGGGGGTTTGAACTCAGGGCCTCATGCATGCTAGGCAGGCGCTCTTACTGTTTGAGCCACTCCACCAGCCCTGGAGCACTCCTTTCTGTCACTTCTCCCTCAGTGAGACTCTACTGACCCCTGTCAGCCGAGCCCCAGGAAAGGACTTCCACTCTTGGCCAGGCTGTCTGGGGATGTGTTTTATCACAGCACTATTCCTGTTCCCAGTGCCCAGCTGAGCCTGGAGCGCCCTCCACGGCTGGCACCGGGCATGAATCCTGGGGAAGATCCCTAAGCTGGCAGTTTCTTCTGGCAGATCTCTAGTGCAATGGAGCAGCTGCAAGAGGCCCTGACGGTGTGCAGGGATGATGCCAACGCCCTCCATCTGCTAGCGTTGCTCTTCTCCGCCCAGAAGCACCATCAGCACGCGCTGGAAGTCATCAACATGGCCATCACTGAGTACCCTGAGAACTTCAGGTGAGTTCCCCAGGGATATTGCAAGTGGGGGGCTGGGTGGCTACTGCACAGATGCCTATGCACACACCTCCTTGTCACCTTACCAGCCAACACATGGAGTAAGTGCCCATGGCGTGAACCTTCTCTGGGTGGAAAGACAAGGGGGTGTAGAGTTGGCGAGTGGCCATAGTGTTCTGTGAGTGGTGCTCCTGTGGTGCTCCTGAGTGTCCATGGGGGCTGTGGGCACACAGAAGAGAATGTGCTGCAATGTACGTGCAGTACACAGTGTTTACACCAGCTTTTCAGGAGCCTCCTGTGGGCTCCAAGGCATAACTTCATCCTGAGCCTGACATAGCCAGACAAGGACAGGATTCTAACAGTGCCTGGTCTGGTGGAGGCCAAGGAAGCCATTCCCCTGCCTGCAAGCAGGCAAGCTCCCTCGTCTTTGCTGGCAAGTGAAGGGGGTATTTATCTTCCTTCGTGGTGGTCCTGTTTCTCATGTTGAATACACCAGCAAGAAGCCCAGCTTCTTAGCAGTGTTCAATTTGCTCCTGGCCCAGGCAGCAGTGGGTGGGGCAGGACTAGCTTCCATGCGCCCACCACAGAAGACCTTCTACCACTAAACAAGACACTGGGAAATGAGCCATGCAGGACCAGCTGAGGCAGGAGGCTGTGTTATTCCGTGGGAAGGAATTAACGGGAGGTCATCTTTAGATTTCAGCCTTTTCCTTACAGACAAGGGACACTGTAAATAGCAGGCTTTGTTTCTCTGCATCCTGTAACACCAGAATGAGGGGTCCCTGGACACTGACCCCTACCCTGTTTCACTTAGTGTCTGAACTAAGACAACCAGCCCAAGGCTGTTGTGCGGTAGACAGCCATAAAAGAGCTGGGGTCCTGGTTACCCTGAGAGGTGACATACTGGCATGTCAGCAGGTTCACAGAGAATTAGGTGAAGTCAGTGGGTGCCTCAGTGGTGATGGGTAATGAAGGGAAGTTGCAGGTGTCCCCACCTAGGACTCCAGGTTGGTCTCCCTGGGAGACCTGGACTTTCACCTTTGTTCATCTGTAGTCCATCAGAGACAGGACAAGGCAAGACTCAGATTTCCCTGTGGCCCAGGGGCCTCCTTTATAGAACACTGCAAGCAGTTCTGTTTGTGGCTTTGCCAGGACACTGGAGATGGGGTGAATGGCTTCCTTCTCTGCAATGTTACTTACTCACTGGGAGACCTGGTGAATGAGAGTGAGGTGAACATTGTCCTGCCAGGATCCTGGTCCATAGCCCTCAGCTTCACCCTGCTTTACCGTCATCCAGACTGCTGCTTGCCTGCAATGCCCTAACTCCTGACCCTACCCACTCTACTGCCCTTCTGCTCAGGCTGGTCCTAGCTACTCGAGACCATCCTTTGTGTTTGAAGGATGGCTCCAATTCTGAGCTTTGACCTAGTCTTTGAGAGACCATTAAAATTGAATCACTTCACTTTATAAGGCATTTAGGAATTCTAAAACATGGTATGTAGACAAGGGATTAGATAACTTGTCTTAGGAATCCTGGGTACAGTATGACATTTTACATTTTTTATTTATAATGGACAAAAGACAATGGTTCTCCACTCCCAGTGCTGGTAGCTTGGTTTTTCCAAACTCCATCCTCACATTTGTCTGGAGGGTCTGCCTTGCTGCTGTTGATATGAGTGCCAATGTGCATGTGTGTGCCTCTGCACGTGTGTATGTTTAGTCTCGTCAGCTAGATCTCAGTGGAAACAAATAGTTGAGAGTCTTAGAACTGTAGTGTGCATAAAGAGGGGGCTTCCTGGGGCTGAGTACTGTCACAGAAGAAATGAGACACTAGGTGGGCAAGTTCTTTTCCAAATGAGATCTGACATGGAAACCAAGACTGAAACAGTTGGGAGCAGAGGTTTTCTGGTGGAAGCAAGGAGAGATTCACACCCTGCCCTGTTGGCCCCTTCTCATACCCTGGTTCCAGCTAAGGGGACCTTCCCATTCTTGTGTCTGGCATTTTGCTGCTCAGCGTATCTTCCCAACTTCTGAGCTGATGTTCTACCAGGCCAACACACCTCCCTGGCCTGCTGTGGGGAGGCTACCCTTCTCCTGTGTTGAAAGCCTGATTAAAGCCCTGGGAGGTACACTAGGGAATTGGGTTTGTCCAGTGTGGAGGGCCAGTCTTCCAGCCCCACCCCTCAGCCTTCCCATGGAGGTGTTTCCAACCTGCAGTAACTCCTCCATCTTCCAGCTCTGAGACTGGCAGAACTGTGCTCTGCCACACCTTCCTCCCACCTCCCAAGGACATGTTTTTTTCACTCCAAGTGTTCTCATGGGGGGAAGGTCCTGACCTTAAGTTTGGTGCCCCCCAGTAGGCCATAGGTAGACATGAAGAATATTTTGTGCATACATGCATGCATGTGGGGTGATGGCTTTTGTCAGGTTCTCAAAGAGGCCGAGTCCCCAGAAATATGGGGAGCCCCAGTGCAGACCATGCTGCATCTAACTGCTCCCTGCCTCTGGAGCTTCCCTCAGGCTTGCTAGGGCTGCCTGGAATTCATTGTCCCCACTCTGCAGGCCAGAGCCTTAAGGGGGCAGCCTCTGCCCTGGGAACCACTCAACACACAGACATCACCCTGCAATTGGGCTTCAGGTCCTCTACAGGCTGAGCACCCCTTTCTTTCCTGTCAGTGCAGTGTGTGCTTCAGAGCTCTTTGGGACCACTGTGTCCTTTCCCCCAGTAATGCCTCACTTTCCCCTGTCTGCTCATCCAGGTGTTGGCAGAGGAAGAGAAACAGCTCTTTTTTCTTTTTTTGGGGTGGGGGGGAATAACTGGGCTTTGAACTCTGGGCCTCATGCTTGCTGGACAGGTGCTCTACCACTTGAGCTCCTTCAGCCCGAGCAGCAGCTCTTTATGGTGAGCCACCACGAGTCCCTCACCTCCCAGACTACAGGAGCTTTCTTTTGATCTGAGCTGGCTCTAAAAAGCCATAAAACAAACTGGAAAAAATTCAGTGGCTTCTGACCTCCAGAACTGTGAGAGAATAAATCTCTCAATTAAAGCAAAAGAAAAGTATAGTTAGATGACAAATAGATAGATAGAGATATAAATTATATGTTGAGGAATCCATCTGCCTCCCAGCTCTGTTGAATGACTGTAGGGTATAACCATGTCACTTTGCAAATAAGTCAATACTGTTCTCCCACAGATGAAACCCTGGAGTACAGAAACCCATGGATTAACAGGAAATGTCATTGAGTCCATTACAGGTCAGAGATTGCTGAAAATGTCATTGCTCTTCGATTGACATTGCATCCAGCTTCTCCAGCTGCTCCCTGCACTGGGAACAAGCTGCATGTGGCTCCAGCTGTTGCCAAGGCAGTTAATTAACCAACCACTCCAGTAAATATCATTCAGCAAAACAGCACAAACCATCCTCCTTTGCCCTGACCTCATTGTCCCCATCAAAGTCTGTGTTCAGGGGCCACTTACGGGCCAGTGGTGTGGATCTTTCCTACCAAGCACCTTGAAGATAGCTGTCCTGATGACTGAAGGCTTTTAGAGGCTTTTCCTTCCTGCAGAGGCTATCAGTTGGGTGGACTCCAGGGAGGGAAGAAGCTGGTAAGCCAAGTGTGTAGCACAGGCTTTACTTGTCACTGCTTGAGAGAAGCCTGGCACAAGGAAGGAAGCCAGTAGGTGGATGTACTTCCATCCACATGAGCTCTTCTATGTGAGAGCTACAGTAAGGTCCCTACCCTTGAGTTATGCCTGTCACTTATTAGTGCCACCAGCAGCAGCCTGTTCCTTGATAAGACAGACATTTGTCCTGGCTTTTCTGCCTTTGTGAGACTCAAAGTAAAGAAGGTCATGAGCTGATCGACAGCCACGTCTAAGGTGGCAGTTTGAAGAAGTAGAGGGGATGCCACAAAGAGGGTCACACTGGCCTCCGTGACCTGAGGGCAGCAGTGTGAGCACTGGGCCAGAAGCTGGAGGAAAGAGGTACAGGCAAGGCTGGGTCTACTCCAGCTCTGGGGCGATCACTGTGAGCTCCTCAGCTGCACAAGAGGTCACTGTTCCTACAAAGGCGCCGTCTAGACACCAAGAGCAAAACCCAGCTTTCACAGAGTCCAACTTTTAAAAATCCTTCTGATTCAGGGATTAGAAAGCAAAGCAGCCAGGATCTTGATTTCCATGCTGTGGGATGACCTTTAGTTAGCAAAGCTCAGGTTATAAAAGGCAGAACGTGACAAGGCAGAGACTTATGGCCCCTCTGGGACAGTGTGAACCTGGCACAGTAGGAACTGGACACCACAGGCAGCTTCCTGAAATCCTGTGGACTTCCAACTAAGCCTAGACATATGTGCTGGCCAGAATGTCCCTGGCCAGCCAGCTCAGGAGACCCAGCCTGCAGGGGGCCTCAGGATAGCAGGCTCCGTGTATAGAATAAGAAGTTTCATAAGCCTGGAGATAACTTTGCTGGCTCTTTCTTATTTGGGGTGGGGGAGGCAGCTGGGAAGCCTGATCAGGGAGGGGTAGAGATGTAGGGTCAAGGGGACCAGGCCACTGATAAGTGTCCTTCCTGAAGCCATGGGTGCTGTCAGGCAGTGGTTTTAGGTAACAGATTCCTTGAGCTTTAGTCAGGCCTTTGTGGTGAAGGTCACCATAGCAACCAAACAAAATTCCTGTGCTAATGATGGGAGCTTTCCAATAAACCAGCCTGTCAGTCACGTTCCCTCCCAGCACTGGCAGCCTGCCAGGCTGGTTTTGAAGGCTCAGGCCATACCTAGCATGGCAAAAGACCAAATGTGTTCTCCTCCCTGCTCCATGGTGGGCAACGCCGCCTCCCCCACACCAAAGGCAGCCCTCCCTCATTGGCCAGATTAGGCACTCCTGGGAGTGCCTGCTGGTCCAGCCCTGGTCCTAAGGGACTTGGAAAGTCCTAGGGGAAGGTGTGTGGGAGCCCCAGAGGCACTCTCCAGTGCGGGAACAATATGGCCTTCTCCACAAGCTAGAGCTC